TTTTTTTTTTTTTTGGTTCCTTCCTCCGGAACTGCGCAACGGTCTTTGACCCCATCCCGGACGTTGTGCTTTCACCTTCGGGCGCTGTCTGCGCGGCTCTGCGTGACTCTGGGAGAAGGGCGGCCAGAAGTTCTGCCTTGCCCGTTGTTGCGATGATTGAACCTGGCAAGTCACCGTGGATCAACGTGGGGCGGTCGAACTACACGCGACGCCATGCGCTGCAGTGGAGGCAGTCTTGCATCGAATCCGAGCCGGAAGGCAATGAAGCGATGCGCAAATTTCGGAGCGCACGCCACCATCCAGTGTCGAATGACTGCCTCCGTCACAGCTCGCGGCAGCAATGTCTCTCTCTCGGAGCTCCTGACGAGCCATGTGTGTTCATCGTCACAGCAGCTTGCATGGCGTGTCACCCCTGCATGCCGATAGTTAGGCTTTGGCGGCCGTGCAAAAGTCTTGCAAGGCAATATGTTATTTCCGAGTCATCCATGCTCGGGTTATAGGTCGGCGCCCTTCGACAATACAGCTCGGTGAGGATCCTGTCCCGAGGTAGGATTCCTTCAATACCATCGGCACTCATGGACCCGCGCCATGTCCGCCGGCCTCACGCCCTGACAGCGGCCTTTTCGGGGCGGTGGTGCGGCGCGATCCGAGAGCATCGGTGAGATCGAGCTGGCACTTTTCTCCATCGATCCATGCCGTAGATCACTCGATTCGGGTGGCACCGTCTCACTTCGTTGCGCTTCGCCGGCGTCGATACCGTTGAAAGTTTCAAAAGGGACAGAGGCGGAGCGTGGGTAAGGATGAGCACACTTCCGCAGGATCGTTCTTTTCCGGCGGTCTCCACTGCTGCACGGACAAGTCTCTGCGTTGCCTACGGTATGGCGATCTTGTTCAAGATGCCGCCTTGGGCATGGTCGAACTTGGACGAGATGCCCGGGCCCGTTGCGTGCGCACGACATCGCTTCGATCGTCCGGACATACAAAGCTCCAGCGCGAATGACGCGACTGCCGAACGACTCAGCCGCACCTCGCTTTGGATGATGGGGATTCTGTCTCGTGGGGAAAGCTCCCACAAAGTACCTTAGCAGTCATCGTCCGATTCAGGGCGCAAGCGAGGCGATCGTTGAGCGAATCGGGCTGCGAGAACAAGGCGGATACTCGTGCGACACGAGGAAATTCCAGCGTGGACTGTTTCAAACTGCCAAGAAGTGCGGTCGGCGCCAGCGGCGCCTAACCGACTGGACGTGCATCGCCGAGCGACAACCGGCCACTTTGCTCGCCTCAAGGATTCTTCCTCTCAGGAACGCCGCAGCCGGCATCAGTGGTTGGAGCTGCGCCCAACGCATGGTTTGTCTTGCCGCCTCCAGCGGGTGGCATTCTCAGAAGAGCAAAGGTGCAGAGCCAAGAAAAAGCCAGAGGACTGATGGCGCTCAGCATCTGTTCCATGTGCGAGGTTGCGCTCGGCGATCCGCTCGCCGGCAGCACGTCGCTGTCTCTGGCAAAGTTCCCACTCGCTCGGCGTACAGATGCCATCCCGACACCGCTCCCTTCCTCTAGCTTACTGCTGCAGATCCTTTCCTCTCCTGCCGGCCCTCCTCAAAATTCCGTCTACTGTACGATGAGGGAAGACGAGTGCCTGTCCATGATCGCCGCAACCAACACCTGCCGCTCTTTCCGAGGTGCGCGTCTCGACCGCGTGTTGGCTGCATATCGCGTCTCTTGCTTCGCCGCCGCCCGCCCTCTGTTGCGGCTGTTCTGAGTGGTGATGCGTACCCGTGTAGGTTCGCACAAAGCTCGCATCTGCGTCCTCGTTCCGATCGTCGTCGAGCATAGCCGAGATATCGCTTTACCCCATCGTGCCGTTGCCCTGCTCATACTGGGTCGAAATGCCCTAGCCTTGAAATGCAAACATCGTGCTGTTCCTGAACATCGACGCCATTTCTGCGCTCGAACGCAGCGAAGGAGGTGGGCAGACCTGGCCCCAACGCGAAGAGATAGCGGAGGCTCAAGACAGCCACCAGCCAAAGACGCAGGGCCGGAGACGCAGGGATACAGACCGTGCAACTCCGACGTTGGTGCCTTTCTCCTTGACGTCTCCGCCTTCTACTTCACTCGCGTCCACCACCATCTCCCCTTCTCTTCCGCTCCACCCGTGCTCCTTTGCATACACGGCTCGACCCACACTCCTTTCTTTCTTGTCTTCGCCTGAGTCCGGTATCCCCTAGGTCACTTCATCCCCCCCGATCGACATCGTTCCCAGCTCGATTGGAGCACGTGTAGCCAGCCATGCCGACTTCGACCCTCTCGCTCTTTGCGCCTGGCGTAGACCAGATGATCTCGCAGCTGGAGCGCACCGTGGCGGCCGTGGACGGCGACGTTTCGTTCCGCTTTGCGCCAACGCCTCTCGCCACCACAACAGCGCCGGACGGCGCAGCCGCCACAGTGTGGAATGTGCGCGCACACGAGTACGCTTCCATCAACGGCCACACCACCACCATCGTCGAGGACCAGCGTTTCCTCGAGTCGCACAACTACTTTGCGGCACGCGACCAGTCGGGCGCTTATATCGAGTGCCACTTTGACCACATTGGCGCGCCCGCTACGTGCGTCAATCGCCAGCCCAAGCACCACACCACGTACACATCGACATTCAAGCATGCTCGCGCGTTTGCCACCGCCTACCACCACCGCGTTGCCGCCAAGAGCCACAACTCGACCAGCTCGACCAGCGCATCCTCGAGCCAGACCACTCCGACAGCAGCGGCAGCGGCTGTCGTTGCCACCGCGACGCCGGACGTCGCAGACCAGGGCACCAACGCAACACCGGACCAGAGTGCCGTCTCCAGCTCGTCTGGCACCAACTCGCGGGTCAACTCGACGTCTGCCGCTGCCAAGGCCAAGACGCTTCCCGTGCTGCTGGTCACAGCCAGCGTGCTCTTCACTGCCGTTCTCACCTTGCAGCCCTAGACACGTCGAGCCGTTTCCAAGCTCCCTCGTCGTGCGGACAAGGGCCGGTCGCACTGGTGGCGGCCGCTGCGGTCCTGCTCACGACTCCCGCATTTTCGCCGCGGAGCTCGCTCACTTTCGGTTGCAATTCTTCCGCTTGTCGAAGTAGGCTCGACGAGCTGCGTCATCCTTTCCGCATCCACTCCGACCTCGCACATTCGTTCTTCCGTTACTGGCTGGCCAGATAGCAATACAGCATGCGTCGATCCGAAAGGCATCGACTTGTTTCATCTTGGCGAGAGAGTGAGATCAAAGAGAGGCTGAGGGTGCCCTGGTGGCTCAACTTGCATTGCGCGCGGCGTCTTCGTCGTCAAGTACAAGCTCTGTATCGACGGTGATCTCAGCTGCGGATGTGGTGGATTGTGCAGCGGGGCCTCGCTGCTTGAGCTTGCGGCGTGGAAGCGCGATTTCGAGCGCCTGGACCCAGTCGCGCGTTTCTGTCCAGGCGGCGAGGATCTCGACGACCTGGTTGACCGTGAGCACCTTTCGACCGACAAAGCTTTGCTCGGCCTTTTCGGCAGTGCCGACTTCATCCTCGAGCGTTTCACCGCGTGCGCTGAGATTGCGCTCGACGGCGCGCATCATGTCTTGCGAAAGCGGTAGCTTTGCAGCGCGGATGCCGAGGCGGTCTGCCTTGGCGCGGCAGAGGCCCTTGTATCGGTTCTTGTCCACGATGCCGCCGATGATGTACGTCTTGCCTGGCTCGAGTTCGGTCAGCGTGTCGTCTGTGTCGGCGGTGAGGTAGATGGCATCGGAACGTCGAATGCGATGCCGAGTCTGGCGGATTTCCTCTGAAGCCGGATGTCTGCCACTAGCGTCTATCTTGACGTGGTCCGATTCCTCTGCCGCGTCGAGTGAGGGAGTTTGAGGATCGCCATGTAGCTGTTGAGACAGCAGAGACTCGATTCCGCCGTGTTTGTAGATTGTGACGCGCTTCCAGCGCCTCCAGACCCCTCGAAGCTTGCCGTCCATTGCGCGACCGATGCTGTTGCTTTCGATACTTGCCGAGCTGGCAAAAGAGGTGCCGGACTGGGTTTCTGGCTGCGAGATTGAAGCTGCATCGGGGACGAGCGAGAGCTGGTCCGGATGCACGTCTCGCAGGCAGTCTCGGGGCGCATCTTGGCCGGTGAGGATGATTTCGCCAAAGGGCATTTTTGCGTTCCTGTTTGCAGAGTAGAGATACATGAGCTGTTGTGTCATGCTAGAAGCCTCTTTGTCCACCATGAGCTCGTCGAAGCCGCAGTCGATGACGAGTCGAGCGTCGAAGAACTGCTTTGGCGGTGCTTGTGAAGGAGCATGCTCGAGTCGGGAGCGCTTGGTCGCTGGGTGTGATTCGTCTACGGCGCGATCCAAGTCGTTGAGCTCTGCATCCTGCTGTGCGGCCAGATGACGCGCTCTCCTGTTTTCTTTCTTCTTGAGCCGCTCGGCTGCGCGACGTTCGTGCTTGGTGGCCTCTAGTTTTTGCTTGCGTGCGAGCTTCTTGGCGGCATTTTTGGACATGCCTGGCGGCGGTTGGATGGCTGGACCAGCATGGTAGCTGCTGGAACCAGCGTTGGCATCCGAGCCCATCTCTTCGTGCTGCATGTCTGTTGCTTTGCTCGTCGCAGCCGTGAAGCGCGGTCGTTTGGGAGCTTGGCAGAGAAGCAAGAAGACTCCTCGAGCCGCCTTCCAAAACCTTGCCGGTGCAAATCCGAGTCCCGAGTCCGCTCGGCCTCCGCCTCCACCTCGAGCGGAGGTGCGGATTTGAATTTTAATACAAGTTGGAGGCCAAATTGGCAGAGCGGTGCGATAAAGACTTAACGCGACGCGTGGAGCGGGCGCGCCAAAATGGCAGAAAGCAGAGAGGTGTTGGTCTTGAACCTGAGCTTCCGAGACGTATGCGTCTTCCGCACCCACCTATCCATCCATCAGTGCCTGCCGCACTTGTTCGCGACAACATGGCAGCATCCACATCCACATCCTCATCGATACAGCTACGCTCGGCGCCGCTGCCTCTCACGCAGTATCACCTGCTGGAGATCCCAAGCGAGCTCGTGCACCTCTTTGACCCACCAGCCCAGCCGAGCGACGAACCACCGTCCAAAAAGCGCCGGCAAGATCCAAGCAGGCTCACCATCAAAGGCAGATACGACGATCAGGCCGTGCTCACCACCGAATCACAGACGCTGGCGCTGCGTGCCGTATCGCAGTCCAACTCACTGCTGCTGTGCAGCATCGACACTGACGGCATTTCTTCAGCCGCCTCTCTCGAGCCCGAGTCGAGCGTTTCGGTTTTGCGCTTGCGCAGCAATGTCACCGACACGCTCGAGCTCTCGCCCGTGGTACCCCGACTCGACCGGCTCGTTGGTCTCCTCAAGGCCTCGCAGTACCAAGGCGAAGAGGAGGAAGAACGGCGCGCGACCAAGGCAGCGAGGCCGGTGCGCAAATACACGCCCAAGCAGCTGAGAAGCATTGTGCAAGCGAGCCCTGCCGAGCTCGACGCGGGCCTCATCCAGCATCACATCATCGAGATGGACGGATACATGCGCCACATCTCGCCCACCTGGACCGTCTCGGCGCTGCAGTTGCTCATCTCGCACCTCGACCTGCATGCGCTGATTCCCGATCAGGTGCCGCTCAACGAAACCGTCGAGGCGCTCCAATCGATGCACGGTCTGCGGCCGCAGGTGGTCACTGCGCTGCTCACCCAGTTCTTTGGCTGCGTCAACGCGCGCGACGACGCGATAGCATCGAGCGCAGCAGACACCACCGCCACCATCACAGTCAAGCTGGACGTCAAGGCCATCGTCCATTTTCTGGGCGTCGAGACACTCAAGGCGAGCGCACGCATCGGAGTGCCGCTAGCCGACTTCCAGCGCACCTGGACGCAGTCGTGCCTTTCGCCCGACTTTGAGGCGCTCGCGCAGCTCGAGCTGCTTTCGGGCTACTACCTGCTATCGCCTGCACCTTCTCCGAGCGTGTCGCTCTACCCGAATCCGGCGTCGGTACAGATCCAGTTCTACTCGCACCACGAGCTGCCAACCGAGCCGGCGGCGCGCTTCCAGGATCTCTTCCTGACGCGCGCCGCCTGGATCGCCTCGGACCTGCTGCCGTTCATCAGCGAGCTGGCGCTCAACGACAAGAAGAAGGACAGCCTGCTGCTCAAGTTCACGCGAGCGAGCAAGGCCAAGGTGCTCGACTGGGAGTTGAGCGACGCGGAAAAGAGGGCGTGGAACAAGGACAAGAAGGTCATCGGCACCGACGGCAAGCCCAAGAAGGTGTGGAGAGACGTGGTCATGTACTCGGCGCGAGTCAAGTACTGACAGTGTACCGTAGCGAGCCAAGGTAACTCACTCGAGATGTGTGGTGCATGCATCAAAGTGTCTGCCTTGTGGACCGGCGTGATGCGCGTTTGTGTGTGTGAGTGTGTGTGTGAGCCAGCGTGAGCCAGCGCAAGAGCCTATTTTTTAAATTCGACTTGGACGGCATTTTGGCTGCCGCTCTTGGCAGGAGGGCCACACACGTCAAAGGCATGTCGTGTCGGAGATGCGGCACGAGACATGTCACCCGCAGCTCGCAGATCCGCTCGACGCTTGACGCTCGACGCTGCTTTTCGCCACGGTGCACCGGCTTGCGATGCAGTAGTATCCACTCTCGCGCTCTGACGCGAGAATGAGCTGTCCCGTGTGGCGAACCTGCAGTCGTGGTGGGCAAGAGCATACCTCGCGGCACACCGGTGCGTGCTGTCCGCTGCATGGATGAGGCTGAACCACCGCCGCTCGGCCCGCTCGCATTCCCCCCTGTGCGCGTGCCTCTTGCCGCGACCATGCGTGCTGCCAACTTAGCACCCTCCGCAGATCAACATGGACCGCCTCGCTCACGCCCACAGCGTACAGTAGCGCGCTTCGAAGCACGCTTGATTCGCGAGTGTGGTCGTGCTGGTCGCCTTCGCACGCCAAGGCGGTGCTGTAACCACGAGAAGCTGCTCCAACGGCGTCGCTGGCTTCCATATGAGCGGCTGGTTCCAGCCGAATCCTTTCCTCTCTCATCTCCACTACTCCGCTTCCCTTCGCATCGCTGCTGCTCTCCACCTCGTCTTCGTCTACCGTTGTTGATCATCGACGAGCCACCACGACGATGAAGCTGAGCATCGCCACCGTAGCCGTGGCGCTCGCCGCGGTGTCTTCGACCTGCATCGATGCGTTGCCTGTGCCGCTCATGTCGCGGGCGCCAGCGCCGGACGTGTACAACATCAACGTCAGGAACCTGTACCCTGAAGACACGCTGTTCGACCGTGCACGCAACCTGTTCTACCAGTCGAACCTGTGGAAGGGTCGCGTGTCGGTGTGGAACGTGGCGGACAACTCGCACTTCAACGTGCTCATCCCTGGAGTCTCTTCGGACGGCAACGGCGACCAACAGATGGCGGGACTGTCGATGAATGGAGCGGGCGACAAGCTGTTTGCGGTGGCCAAGAATGCGGCCGCCTTCCGGTTTGGAGCGGGGCAGCGCAAGGACGGCGCCGACTCGTTCCACCGCTTCAACCTTCCCGTCAACGCGCAGAGCACACCCGCATGGAGTGTGAGCCTCAACGGAGTGCAGAACGAGTTTGAACAGCAGCGCGGCTCGATGCCGTTTGGACCTGTGGACTCGGCGCAGGATGCACAGGACAACTCGTACGTGGTGTTTGCGCTCGGCATCCCGGCCATCGCCAAGGTATCGCCCGATGGCCGTACCGTCACTCCCTGGTTCGCTGAGGCTTCCAACGGCAGCGAGCGACCCGGCTACACGGGAGTCGCCTACATCCCCGAGGACAATGTGGTGGTGGCGTTCGGTGGACCCAGGCCGCTCACCGCGTTCGATCTGAGCCAGCCTACGCCCACGGCGATCCCGGTGAGGCTGACGGGGGAGAACTTTGGCGGCCTGGATGGTACCGAGAAGCTGCACGGCATCCGGGTCAACGGCAAGACGAACCTGTTTGGAGCCAAGGCGCCGCTGGCGTACCGCTTCGAGTCGTCGGACGGCTGGAGGAGTGCGTCGGTGCGGTCGTCGACGCGCGACGAGTTCAAGAGCAACTCGCTCACCGTGGTCACCGAGGCCAACTTTGATGGCCAGCAGCAGATCTACGGCGGCGGCGCCTACTTTGGCGAGGGAGCCAATGGCGGACGCACGCAGTTCCCGCTCTACCGCATCTACAACCTTATTTGAAGTTGAGGTTGACACTTCCGTCTCTCTCCGTCAGTCCGCGCAACCTAGTCCTCGTCCTCGTCCTCGTCCTCGTTCTCATCCTGTCCCCTTCTCTTTCTGCATGTTTTGGCCCTTCCTCACTCCTTTGTCCTTTGCACATTGCTGCCAGGCTTTGCTGAGCTTGCTCGCATCTGGCAGGCGTGTGTGGCCTTGCTCTTAGCTCGCCCGGGCCCCCTGCGTCGATGCCAGTCGGTGGTGCTGCGGCTGAATCATTACTCTCTTTTCATCATACCGTCCAGAAGCGTGTGAATGTGACGGAGTGGTGATACCGTCTGTGCCTGTCAGTGGGATGTCACTTTGCATTTTCGCCAAGGTTGCAAAAGGGTGGTTGTGGAGCTCTACACTTGAATCGGTTGACTAGCGAAAGATTGCAGAGTCTCACAGAAAACGTTTGGGATTTAGGCTGCCGGCTCTGCACACTCTTTGTTTGCTGAATGATCTGGGGTGAGACTGGAGGTCGGAATGTGGAGCCTTTCGGGGTGATGCAGCCGAACGGCGATGGCGGCGAAGAGCGAAGAGCCCGACAGCGTTCATCAGGGTCGGATCGACGCAGCGGTGGAAGCAGGATCGAGATGGGGATGTCTACGACGTGCTCATGCATCTGTGTCGGAGCCAGAGCCAGAGTGACGGCGCATCTCGGAGCGGAAGTTTTAGGTTCGGCGTCCAGATGGCATCACCATGTTCCAGACAAAGCTCCACAGCAGCCAGACGGAGGAAGCGCTGGGCGCCGGCAGTCTGCGATCCTGGCGCTTGGAACCGCTGGGATCGCAGCCGCAGCCGGATGACTGGCGTGATGCCTGGATTCTGGCGCCAGGCCCGCGGAAGGCCCGCGTGTGAAATGCGCAATGCATCATCGCACCGCTCGGCTCGATCCCGACTGGCGGCGCGTCCGAATGCCTCGGAACTTTGTCAGTCTGCGAGTCTCGATCGGCAGTCTGTATTCGCGATCTCCAACAATCGATTACAGCTCAATACAGTCGCTCGAGTCGAAGCGGGGTCGACTACAAAATTTAGAGTGTGCATGCATCGAAAGGCGGCTGCCCTGCGCTTCACCACCAGCAGCGTCGGCTCGTCCGTGCTCGCAGACGTCCCAGCTGAATCATGGCTCCGCGTCAATGTCGCGGACGGTGTCGAGTCGAGTCGAGTCGAGTCGAGTCGAAAAGTGCGGGTGCTAGGTTGCCAATGCTGCCTCCAACAGCACAATTCATGCGCCTTTCCGGCCCTCCAGAGCCAAGCACGCCAGCGTTGCTTTTTTTGGGATCCGTGGTCTGAGCACCAAACGACACTCTTCACTCTGTTCGTCGGCAGCGACTGCATGTTGTGACGCTGTCTGGACTGCAGGCATCCTTCGTCTTTCCCACCACCGACCAACACTGGTGCCCACCGTACTCACACATCGCTACCACCACCACCACCATCCTCACCTTCACTTTGGTTGCTCGATATCTAACCCATCCTCTGATATCGCAACATCCCGTTCACCCGTGCTTCTTCGCCACCCTCCTGTTGACTCGTTGGGAACCTTTCATTGGCGCAGTCATTTCCATCTCGACACTTCATCCCCGCCCATTGAATGCCCACCATGGCCGCCACCGCCGCAGCCTCCTCTGCCAATAAGCGCAAGCCGTCGTTCTCCGACGAGTCGGACTCGGACTCCGATTCCCCTTCCTCCCCATCCAAGAAACACTCCGCCACCTCCACCGCAAAGCAGTCCGCCAGCCAGCAGCTCGTCCCCGTTCCCGGTCAGCCAGATGCGCCCCTCGTCACAAAGCGCACCCTCCAAAACAGAAAGGCACAACGCGAGTTTCGCAAGCGTCGCGAGGCGCGCGTCAGGGAACTCGAAGAGCGATGCCGCCGCTTCGACCAGATGGGCCTAGAGGCAAACACTGAGCTCCAGCGACTCGCACGCAACCTCAAGGAGGAGAACGAGGCGCTCAAATCGCTCATCGCACGTCTCGGATTCGCCCACATGATCCCCGGCGTGCTCGAGTCCGTCACCGCACACGACCAACACCATCCCCACCAGATCCAACACTCGCAACACGCCCCTTCTCACCACCATCCGCAGTCGTTCGCCCCCCTCGACCTCGGCATGGAAGCTTGGGCAAGACAGCCCGCACCAGCTTCTTCCATCTCCGCTCCTCCTCTCCACCAGCTTGGCGCTCCCGTCCCCGCATCAGCTCTCGACCAAAACAGCGCTGCCACCGCCCCGAACTCCAAGCAGTCCAAGCGATCGCGCGCCTCCACTTCTACAACCAACACCTCCGCCTCAGCCGCCGTCTCTTCCCTTTCCCACATGCCCGCATTCACAGAACTGCTCCCCACCACCGCAGGCAACGTCAACCCCAGCCTGCTCAGCGACACCTCCTCCCACACTTCCAAGCACTCGCTACCGGGCACCACCGCCGCCATCGCCATCCCTGCCACCAACAAATCCACCACCACCGCCAGACCCATCCACGACAACAGCACCTTTGACAACGATTGGTTTGCTCAGCTCGCACAGTCCGGTCACGACAAAGACGACGCCGACCTCAACGACAGCGCTACCAAGCTCGAAAAGTCCACCAACAGCAACACGCTCCCCAACGATCGCACATCCATCAACCCCATCCTCTCCCTCAATCTCGGCGGCAACAACAACAACAACAATAACAACGACTCCAAGCCCAACGCAAAGCCATCCGACGCACTCAACGCCAATTCGGCGCTCACTGGTTCCGCCATGCTCGGCGCCAACGCGCGCGACTTTGGCCTCGGCCTTGCTAGTGCCCTAGGCATCCCAGCCTCCTCCGCACCGGGCTCCAACATCTTCCCCATGCCCATGCCCACCCACCAGAACGGCGCTCTGCTCAACCCCAACCCCATCCCCTTTGCCTTCAACCTCAGCGACAACAAAGCTCCCGGCGACCAGAGCTGGTGGTCCCAGGTCGCAGGAAGCGTGCTCGAGGGCGACGACAGCGTCCTCGACGAAAAAGCGCAAGCAGTCGCACAGGCTACCGGCACCTCGAACAACGGCGCTCCCTCTCCCTTTGACCTCTCTGCCTTCCTCAACGGCGGCCTCACGCCCGGCGGCGGATTCACCTTCGGAAGCCAGTCCAACAACGACGCTGACGATGCCAACGATCCGCAGAAGAGCAGCTCTGCAAGCAGCGCCACCTTGCCCGACGACGCTGTCAAGCCAAACAACGGCAAGGCTGGCGAGACCCAGTCGTTGACACAGGCAGAGCATGCGCAGATGTTCCTTCGCCTCCTCGAGGCAAAGATGGTCAAGCGCGACCCAAGCCCATATGCCCAACTCGGATTCCAACCGCCTATGCACCAGCAGCAATACGCTGCATCCCACCAAGCCGGTCCGAGCTTCTCCGACGCCAGCTCGTCATCCTCGGCCTCCTCCTCGTCGAACGACAAGGCCGCGTTCAAGCAAGACGACGACTCGTCGCTCTCGCCCATCAACGTCTACTCGCGCCTGGCCCAGCATCCCGCCTTCCTCTCCACCAACGCGAGCGAGCTCGAGGAGCTTGTCGACTCGATCAGCTCGTCGCAGCACCAACGCCAGCAGTCGCAGTCGCTCTTCCAGTCGCCTTTCAACAAGCGAAGGGCTTCGCCCGCCAAGCCAGCGCCGGCGCTTTACCCTCCGTCCGCATCCGGTCTCACCCCGAGCATCTACGGGCCCAACGGCGCAGCTGCGCTTGCCAGCCGCTCGTCGTCCTCGGCCAGCTCGCATGGCGGCAAGGAGCTCGAGGTAGACGAGAATGCAGTCACCAAGATGCTTGGCTTGCTTGACCGCAAGACCTCGCGCGAAGCTGCGACCGCCGGTGGCGGCGGTATCGGCTTCTGAGTCGCTGCGATAACATTCATGGTCCCTCAACGCCGTCATTGAATTCGCCTTGCTTCGCACAAGCTTTTATCCTCTCGCCTCCTCAGTTGCCCTGTCACACGTTTTTGGATTCTCGTCTCCTATGTCGCACCGTCTCTCTATCTGCTCGTCTCGCCCTTGCGCAGCTCGCTTCGTCTCTGTCCACAGCTTGCCTTGTACATCTAGGATCCATCACAATCTGCAATTTCCACCGCTGCTCGTCCGTCCACAACCTTGAAGCAACAACCCGCCGAGCCAGGAGTTTCGCGACAGACACCGACAGACGCGAAGATGGAGTTCAAGTCTTGGATTGACGCGAGCGATGAGAGACTCTGCAGAGCGCATGATGCTCTGCATCAGCTGTGAAGCGCAATCAGAGGTTGGCGGTGAACTGGACACCCTTGGAGATGTTGCCGTTGAGGTCGGCGACGGCCTTCTTGATGAGCTCCGACTCGTACTCGTTGAGCTTGCCCAGCGGCAGGATCTTCTCGACACCGTTGGGGCCGAGCTGGAGGGGCACCGAGAAGAAGGCGGTGTCGTTGCCGATGACCGAGGTGACCTCCTTGGCACCCGCAGCGTCGGCGGTGAGGTCGACGTAGCCCATCTCGGGGTGGGCGAGCGCCTTGCCCGAGGCAGCCTCGAGCACGGCGATGGCGAAGCGGGCACCGGCGTAGGCCATGGAGAGCGTGGCGGAACCGGCGCCGTCCTTGGCCTTGACCACCTCGTCGCCGCCGAACTGGATGCGGTTGGTGAGCTGCTCGATCTTGTCCTGGCCGACCGAGATGGGCGGCTGGCTCTGGCTGAGCAGCGGCACGATGGTGACACCCGAGTGACCGCCGACGACGGGGATGCGGTAGTTGAGCGACTCGGTGGGCTTGCCAGCAGCTTCGGCGATGAAGGTGGAGGCGCGCACAACATCGAGCGTGGTCACACCGAAGAGACTGTATGCGCCGGAAGAAAGCAAGGAGCCGCGCCAGACAAGGTCAGTTACGCTGCTCGGATGCCAGAATGATGTCGAGTTGGACTTACCGCTTGGGGTCGTACACGCCCTTCTTCTTGAGGACCTCGGCGACGATGGGCACGGTGGAGTTGACGGGGTTGGAGATGACAAGCACGAAGGCCTTGGGCGAGTGCTCGGCGATGCCGACGGCGATGTCGCGCACGATGCCGGCGTTGATCTGCGAGTCGGACCGGCGCGATGTTCGGGTGAAGGGATGGGGTATTGTGAGTCCGATCGAGGAGCGATCAAGACGCCGGAGAGGGTGCAGCCGAGCCAATAGCGCAGGCGAAGAGATGCGCGCAGTTGTGGAAGTCGGAAATTGCGAGCGGATTTGTTGGGTGGCGTAGAAGCGGAAAGCAACAAGAGGTGTCAGTCGAGCTGCGTCATGCTCAAGCAGCAATCACAACGGCGCGGTAGCACGGGTCGACGGTCCAGAGCGCTTTGCGGCCGATCAAGAGCCGGTGCAGCAATGCAGCGCAGCGAGGATGCCTAGACAGAGACTGGCCTGACTTGCCGACGAGTTGCGGCGGTGGACCGCAGGCGGTAGCAGCTCCTGGCGGGGATCAAGCTCGGCGAGGCGAGATTTCCGAATTGGAACGGCAGCAGAGCGCGACCCCAGCTGTTGGTCAAAGCCCAAGCTGGCTCGCCGCGCATGGACCAACAAATTCGACTTTGGCCCCCCAAATTTGGAAGCCAGGCGGTGCGCGGTGCAGCGCGTGGCCTGGCGAGCGCATATCGATCGGTAGGCGTGTTGGGAGGGCCGCGCGCTGCGCTGCTGCCCCGCATACCGCCCGACTCGTCGATACGGTGGCTAAAGGGAAGTCGGTCGAGCTGGGTCGAAGCGCTCACGGGCTGTGGAAAGCTCTCGTCCTGCCAGGGTCGCCAATGTATGTACTCACGTTGAAGAGGTCGTCGCGGGTCATGCCGGGCTTACGGGGGACACCGGCGGGGATAACGACAATGTCGGCGTTCTTGAGCGCCTTTCCGAGGCCACCGTCGGCGGGGAGGTAGCCCGTGACCACCGAAGGGGTGTTGATGTGAGACAGGTCGGCGGCGACACCGGGGGCGTTGACGCTGTTCGGAAAAAGCAAGAGTCAGCTCCAGGTGCATCTCGACCGATGCGAATAAGCCGAGCATGGTTCTGCGTCGAGGGCACTTACACATCGTAGAGGGCGAGGTCGGTGACGAGCGTCGACTGCTTGAGCAGCAGCGAGAGAGGCTGGCCGATACCACCGGCAGCACCAATAACAGTAGCCTTGACCATTTTCGCGAATGAAGAATGTGACGGGGGAGGAGAAGATTGTCTAGTTGCGAGTGGGATGGAGTTGGAAGAGAAGCAAGGGCATGTCCGGAAGACTTGGAGGTGCTTTGAGCCGCTTCTGACGAGCCGGGCTGACCGTGCGGGAAACTCCACACTGGCGGGCGGCGCGCGTGCGGATCAGTGGGCGCGCGCTGCTCCCGCAGCGCTGGCTCAGCTTCCGCAGAGGCCAGCTGTCTCCGATGTGTGGAGACATCCGCGCCCTCGATACTCGCTCCCTCACATCCACGGATCGTCAGTCGGGGCATCACAGCATGCTCAATGCGCTGTACCCGCTTCGGGCAGGTGGGCGGGCAACACCGGCGCTCAGCGGATTCACGCGCGCATTCACACGAAGGTGCCGATCGCGCCATCCTAGTGCCGGCGTATTCCGGATTAAAGGCAGTCTTTGTTAGACTTTCCGGTATTCGATCTTTATCGAAATCAGATTCGTCCCGATGAGGCCTTGCATCCCGATCCGACCCAAGCCCTCCCTGGACGCCTCGACTTGCTATCATCAAGAACCATCGGCCTTCTTACGAGGTGCGCAACTCATGTACATCGACACGACAGCCAATCCTTGGAACGGATCTCCATGGAACGGATCTCAATGCCACAAACATCAAAGCTCGAGACGTTTCAACTCGAATTGTGACGGGACCTATAGACATTATGGGTAAAACGGCTAAGAAGAACAATCGTGATGTTCGAGCACCTTCGTATCATGCTCCGATCACGACGACGACATCTGGAGCTTGTTGCCAGACAGGCCACCGGAGCCGGAAGAGCGGCGAGAGCCAGGGCGGGTGCCTCCAGGCGAAGCGGGCTGCGAAGTGCCGGGGGGGCCGAGCTTTCCGACCTTCAGACCTTCATCCAATCCATCGAGAGCATCCATGTCGTCGTTGTCGAGCTGGAAGTCGAAAAGCTGAGCGTTCGACTCGATGCGGTGCTTCGTAAGACTCTTGGGAAGGATGATGTTTCCATGCGCCAGACCCCACTTGAGCAGAATCCTGAAGCGTGCGAAGCGTAGAATAGCGTAAAGAGTCAGTAAACGGACGCGAGACGAGTTGCGCAGGCGGAGAGGCGGCGGTGTGGTACTTACTGTGCGGGGGTCTTGCCGTGCTTGGTGGCGATGGCCTTGATCTCGGGGCGGTCGAGCGCCTGGCCCTGAGCCATGGGCGAGTAGGCCTGGATGTGGATGCCGCGCTCGATGCAAGCCTCGCGGAGCTCCTCGTGGGCGAAGAAGGGGTGCGACTCGATCTGGTTGACGGCGGGCTTGATGCGGCAGTTGGCGAGCAGGTGGTCGAGGTCCTCGACGTCAAAGTTGGAGACGCCGATGGTCTTGATCTTGCCGGCGTCGACGGCCTCCTCGAGGGCCTTCCAGGCCTCGAGACGCTTCTCGGGGCCCATGGTACCGGGCGAGTGCATGAGGTACATGTCCATGTACTCGACCTGGAGCTTCTTGAGCGAGTCCTCGACGGCGGCGGCGGCCTTGTCGTGGTCAGCGTCCCAGAGCTTCGAGGTGATGAAGATCTCGGAGCGGGGCACGTTGTTGGCCTGGGTCCACTCGGCGAGGGCGCGGCCGACGGACTCCTCGTTCATGTAGCGGGCAGCTATGATGCACAAAGTATAGAAGGCGCGTTGTGACAGGTCAGTCAGGCATTCTAGCTGAGACACACGATGCAAGCGCTCTGAGAGAAAGAGAGAGAGAGAGATAAACTTACCCGAGTCGATGTGGCGGTAGCCGGCGTCAAAGGCCCACTTGCAGGCGTTCTCGGTGGAGCCATCGTTGGGGGCCTTGTAGACACCCAGGGCGACCTGGGGGATCTCGACGCCGTTGTTGAGCTTGACGCGCTGGGTGGAGATGTTTCCGGCGATGATGCCGCTGGCAGTAACCTTGGACATGATGGGCAAAAGTAAGTTGGTGTTGGATACGAAAGGAAGAGAGGGGAGGAAGAGCGATGGATGGGTAAGAAGGAACGGCGGTGGTGCGGGCTTGGCGAGGTTTAAGTAGTAGGTCGATCGTGCAGGTGAAGCCAGCGGGAAGTCACGCACGAGCAGGCATGAGCAGCGGAAAGTCTGAGAAGACGGACGACGTGGAGCAGCGAGCAGGCAGCACGGGCACGGGCACAGTGCAAGGCAAAGACCGGCGCGAATCTGGCTCAAGGTTGGGCGCTAGGTGAGGCAAGTGCGCATGCGCTGCGATCTGGGCGCGCCTGCCGGCGTGGCTGCTGCGGTGCACGGAGCGGCAGGACAATCTCATCGAGGCGCGGCGGGCAACGCAGAGCGGCGGCGCCGATTGAATGGGATGCGGCTGATTGCAATTGTGCTTGTGTGGGTAGAGGGACGGGCCTTGGGTTTGGATTTGGGGTGCCACGGCGCAAACGCTCGTCACGAGCCACACACCGAGACGGGCCGAGGTAGCTGCGACGATGGGATCACACAGAAGGCACGCATACGCACACGGCACGCTGGTTGCAACGACGACGGCTGCAGCAGCGACAGCGGCAGCAGCAGCAGGACGCAGATCCCAGCGGGCGTGCAGCTGATGATGGCGCATGCGCATTGCGTCGATTCGAGAGCTGATGCGAACGAGGCCCCTTGCACCCTATCCGCGAGCGGAAGGCGGAACGAAGAAAAAAAAAGTGTCAGGTCAGCGGACCAGACAAGCGGATCTGCAGAGGCTGGGCGAGCTGGATACGGTCATCGAGCATCGATCGTGCATTCACTTCGAACGCATGCATGCACGCATGCACTGCACGTCTTGTGCGAGGGTGCTCGCTCGAGCCACTCTGGGAGCACCACAACGCGAATCTGGACAGCCGCGGAGGGCTGAAGTTGCGCCTCGGTTGGAATTTTTTGTTTTTGTTTTGACACGAAATCGATTTCGTGAACTTTTGGACGCAGAGGCATTGGACCAGAGGGCGCATCCGTCCCGACTGTTGCGACGGTGACGGTATTGTACATGAGCTCGATTTTCGCTTGGCCTCCTCCGCCGCTCCCGACCGGCGCAAACCGAGAGCATGAGCAAAGAGCTTCTTCCTCGCAGCCTTCGCCTTGGATGCATGCTCAACTGCCGATCGGCTCGGGAAATCTGTCTGGCAGTGTCCGACCCATCGATGGCTGCGCTGGTACGAGGCATTGGTACGAGGGCATTGCCATGGTTTGGCTGCGGCTGCGAGGGCTGCTGGATCTCATCACTTTGCGCACGCGTGGGTCTTTGACAGTCGCCCACCTGGGTCGGCAGCCCTGCAGCGCACCCTCAATTGCACCCGCCTTCGCACCCGCCTCCGCACCCTGGCTGGCCTCACGAGCGTACTTGCTGCGCTTTTCGGAGAATTTCGCTCCTTCTTAGCTGACCTGGCGCGAGTGCTCCTGCTCGATAGCCACACTTCTTCCGCCTGCATCGTGCATCGTGCGTCGCACATCGTGCACCGTGCACCTCGAGCTTCTGCGGCATCACAAGCGGCTGCCGCTTCGTCTTGGCCTCACCCCATGCAGGCAGATCAAGGTGCCAGAAAAGGGTGCCTCGGACGTGCATTTGGCCGCCTCCCGAGTCGGCTCGCCCGGCCACCGGAATCCAGCCGAGTCTTGGCCTGCTTCTACCGCTGTTTGCTTGATGCTCGCGTGCCATCGATAGCGTGACGTCACCCGAACCTCGTCAAACCCCTTCCGTTCGTTCGCATCTCTGCGAACCATGAATTTCTCGGTCGGCATCAAGGCTCGGCTCGACTGCCGTTCTCCCTCGGACAGCCGTGTACCTGAAAACCCCCTCTAGCCGCGCTCCAACCACATGGCCCACGGTGGTCAATGCCGGCGAATGCCAAATTCTTCCAATTCCTCCGAGCAACGCGCTCATCTTTTCAAGAGATCGGTATCTGGTACAATTACATGTCGGCATGTCCCGATGGCATGTCGAGGAAATAAGCTACAGCGAAGCCAACTTGAGCCTGTCAAAGTGGCAGCGTACAAAGTACAAGTACACGAGGCGAGGCGGGGCCAGGCTACTCGTCGTGACGCCGTTCCGATATCGGGCCGATGCATTCCCGACGCGTGAGATCGTAGCTGGGACGCGGTCCACCTATTGTCCCTGCTCATCCGGCTCCTCCTCGTCCTCTTCCTCTTCATCGTCGTCATCAGCATTGCCGGCGTTGGCAGCGAGGCTCGCAACAAGCGCCTCCAACTGCGCTTGCAACGATGCCGCGTCGCGATCGTCCGAATCGCCTCCCTCTACTTGCTCCTCGGCCGCATCTCGAACAGCCTGAGCCCCGTCCGGGGCTCCGTCCTCGTCGACTGGCTCGTGCGCACTCGTCGAGTCTGGGTCCACCTCCATGGCTTCCGGCTGCGTCGGTCGATCGGGCAGATCGCCTCCGCTCGCATCGTTTTCCGCTCCCGCTGCGGCAGCGGAGCCCTCATCTTGACCTTGGCCAAGGTCGCTGCCCTGAGCTTCCGCTTCGCTCTCCTGATGCGCCTGCAGCGAGGCCGTGAGCTGCTGAAGGACCGCAGAGAGATCCATCTCCTCCGCGTCTCCTTCTTCGTCCTCCTCCTCCTCGTCGTCCTCTTCTGCCGGTCCCCCTGCACTGTTGGCCGTCCCCTCGGGACCCTTGGCGGGCGGAGCTGCAGCGGCAGAGGAGGCCTCCGCGCTTCCTCCTTCCGCTGCCATCGGCTCCTCGAGGTGGCCTTCGACGTCCGCTTCGGGCAACGAGTCCAGCTCCGCCTCGGCTGCTGCGATGGCACGCTCGTCCGCCTCGTTGTCGGACTCGTCCGAGTCGCCCTCGTCCGCACCTCCAAACGCCGACGTGAGCGCACGGATGGCATCCTCGTACTCGGCCAGGTCGATGCCCTCCTCCAGCTCGCGCGCCTCGTCGCCTTCTCCCGCCACGCCCGCTGCCGCTTGGCCTTCCGTCTCGGCAGGCTGAGGCGCAGCGATCTCGTCGGAAACGGCCGGCTTGCTCGCAGTGTTCGGCGCACTTCCGATCTGCTGCAGCGCAGCCGCAAGCGTCTGGGATACCGCCGAGTCCAAGTCCTGCTGTTGCGCAGTGCCAGCCAAGCTTGACAGCGCGGATGCAAGCTGCGACGAGGCCGACGTCGCTGCCGAGGGCGTAGGCGCAGTCGCACGTGGAGGCGCTGCGGGAAGCGTGCCGGACGCGCCCATCGCGGGCATGTTGGCGGCGCGTGCGGCCGCTGCAGCTGCGGCGTTGCTGCTCAGCTGGCCGAGCAGCGAATTGGCGAGCACAGGGTTGATGGGAGAGCTCAGATCGTTGAGCATGCTTGCCAGCTGCTGCATCATCGTCGGCTCGCTTGTCGTCGGCAGCGGTAGCGACGTGGGTCCCTTGGCGACCGGCAGACGGCGTTGCGCTGCATTCGTGCCACCTGCGACGCCCATCCTTCCGGGCGCGACTGGGCTCGCTGCCACGGCGGACATCGACGCATGCGGTCGCATGTATTGCGGCATGGTCGCAGCCGCCGACTGCGCCGCCGCCGCCGCAGTGGCGGTAGCAGCAGCATCGTGATAGCCCGTCTGCGTCAAGAGGTAGGCGAGCATCTCCTCGGCCGGGCCATCGCTGGGTCCAGAACGGATGAGCTGGTAGAGCTGCTTGACCGAGTCGGCGTCCAGCTTCTTGGCCGTTCGTTTCTGGTACTCGAGGATGATCGACGCCGCCGAGCCGTTCTGGAATATGCTGCTCGCAGGGTTCGCCAGCGGCGCTGCGCCCGGTTGTCCATACGGACGCGGCCCCGCACGCGCGCCTTTGCCGGTCGGTCGCAGCCCAGAGTCGCCGACATTGCGATAGGCCTGGCTGTCCTTGAGCGGGCTGACGGCCAGCACTTCGCCGTTGAGGCCCGGCGTGACCATGGGGTGGTCTCTGCCGACCTGGGGCCGGCGCGTCGGCTTTCTGGATTCGCCGGGACTCGACCACGATGGATTGATGCGATACATGCTTCCGGTCTTGAGCAACCTGCCTCGCTTGAATGCCTTTTGCAACGCCTGATGTGCCGATGGACGAAACTTCTTGGTGAGCGGATAGGTGACCTGCATCCAGTTGAACAATGTGCGTGGCGGTGCTTCGCCCATGACGCGCAGACCTTCGACGATCATGTCTTCGTAAGAGGGCAGCGTGCTGGTGCCCAGTGGTCCTTGAACGATGACAGGCTCTGGCTCGGGCGACCAAGACGCGTCTCGATGGCTGGCCATGCCGGGAGAGAGGCTCGTCGCTGTACCAGCCGGATAGGTGGGCGTAAAGACTGGGTTGGCGCTGGCGCCTGTGAGGATGGCGATCGGATCGCTGAGGGCAGCGGCAGCGCTGGATGACGATGATGCGGGCGTCGCAGCTGTCTGCGACGGACTTGCTTGTGGCGAGAGGCGCTTCTTTGCCTCTTCGAGCTGCTGCAAGAGACTGGCGAGGGCGCCGCCTTGGCCTTCGGCTGCTGGCATGCCGCTTGTCGACTGTGCATTGTTGGAACTGGCGGACAGATTCGATTCCTTGTCCTGGCCTGCGAGGCTCGACAGCATGGCTGCAATGTTGCCGATCGGCAGGGCTGCTGAAGTGGAGGCCGAGGCGGGAGCAGCCGCAGCAGGAGCGAGCGGCAAGCCCTGAGGGCCCAGCATGGTAGTGTGCGCCGAGGATGACGAGCCGAGGATAGCAGCGATCTTGTCGGAGATGTCTTTGCCGGGTGCAGGCGTCGGCGAGGCTGTGGTGACGGGTGGGTTGCTGTCGTTGGACGTCGTCTGCGTTCGCGCGATGGCGCCTCTGGTTTCGCTCGCGCCAGTCCGCCTTGCCGGTGTTGACGCGGGTGTGGGGGAAGGTGTGGCACGGGTTGTTGCAGCCGCGCTGCCAGGGAGACTCCCGCCAAAATGGGCGGCAATGGCCGCTGCCAGGGCAGCGTTGGACGGCATGGGCCCGTCGCCAACGATGCTGCGAAGCGCAGCCGCTGGCAAGGATGACGGTGCGATGGGTGGCTGACGTGCTTTGGCGGGGGCGGGGGCAGAGACGCCAGCGCGCAGAGCTGAAGCACTGGCTCCGGAGAGCGCCGGCGGCAGGGGAGCGCCGTTGGGCCCGCGTGCTGGCTGGGACTGTTGGCGGACCATGGCGTTGATCGAGTTGATGAGGTTGGTGAGGGAGGCGTTTTGTGCTGCGTCTTTGGAGGGCGGACGGGCTGGAGACTGGGCAGCGGTGGATGCCGACCGAGCTGCAATCGATGTCGTTGCAGGCGGTCGTCGGGGCAGAGACGACACGGTGGGCGTGGTTTGGGCGAGTGCGGTCGGGGTGGAAGTGGCGGAGCGCGGCTGTGGTGCACGTGTTCGCGCATAGATGGAAGCGGCAGCGGATGAGGTGGATGTGCCCGAGTTGAGGAGAGAGTAGACGTCCTTGAGGCTGAGGTCGGAGGTGGAGGTGGGCCTGGACGACTCGATGCGCTGGCGCGCCTTGAGGCGGTCGATCTGGGTGTGGATGTGGTTGGGATAGATGCGCGCCTGGCGGTAGAGCGCCGACGAGCCGATGGGCGCGGCACTCAAGTCGTGGAGCTGCCTTTCGAGCTGTTTGACGAGGTCGATGAGCTCGGACTTGTGGAGCAAGGAGAGATACTCGTCGCGCGTCGAGGCGGGCAGCTGTGTGCCCGGGACGGCGGGGACGAGGTTGAGCGGGCCGACGCCGGCCTGACGAGAGAGCGGGCTGCCCGGCTTGGGTATATTGGTGACGGTGATGCCGGAAGCGGTGTTTGTGGCTCTTGCGGTGGCCGGGAGGGTGGAGAGCGGACGCGCGGTGGTGATTGCGGATGAGCTCGACGAAAGGGCGGGGTTCGAGGATGCAGACGACGTGGCGGCTGATGCAGCGGAGGCAGCGGATGTCGAGGTGGATGGCGCGGAGCTGGGTGCATGAGTCGGACGAAGCTTCTTGTTGGCAAGGTCGACCGACAAGGGTGACTGCCAGGATCGCTTGTGCGACAGGGTCGCGGCGCCACTACCCGTGGCGGAGGCAAGCGGCTTGGAGGGCGAAGCATACTTTTGGCGCGTTTCCTGGGTTGGATAGGCGGTGGCAAAAGACTCGGAGGCGCCAGCTTGAGCTAGTCTCGGCGCCTTGTACGGCGATGGCAGATGGATCTGCTTGGACGCGGAGCCGGAGGGCGTGGCGGAAGGCGTGGCTGCTGCGCGGTCGGGTGCGTTGCCTAGCGGCGTCGGCGGCAAGACGCGCGTGGGTGTGGCGACGGCGTTTGCGAACGGTGTGGCACTGGCGGTTGCAGGTGCCGATGATGGCTGAGCCGCACTGGTGGCGCGTGGCAGCGAGACCGACGACTGGGATGGCGGACGCGTGGATTGGGACGCGACTGCAGCGGCGGTGGCGGGCGCGATGGTCGGAGAGCCTGGCGGTGAGGCGAGGTCGATGGGTTTGGCCAGCGTGCCGAGATTGGTGGAAGTGAAGTCGACGGCGGCGGCAGCGCTCACGATGGCGGGCGAGGCCGAGGTGGATGGATCATGGCGACGCGTCGTGGATGCATCGGTGGATGCGTGGATGGCATCGCTGGACGACTGGCGCGTGGGTGGCGTGTGTGCGAGTGGTGGTGGGGCTGATGATGGAGCGGGCGAGGGAGACGGCGCCGTTGCGGCGGTCATGTCGGGCTCGAACGGCGAGCAAGGTGCGGCGCCGGATTGCGAGCTCTTGGTGGGATGGTGAATTCCAGTTTTGCGAGGCGTGGAAATTTCAGGTTGGTGGTGGTGTGACCTGGCTCCTGAAACTGTAACGCGTCGGCACCGCATCGCATCGCATCGCAGCGCGCACTGCACCACCGCCCACCAACGCCATCCGCCGCCATCGCGTTCCGCTAGGCAACGCCGAGTCGTCGCTCGCGGCGAAATTCATTCAAAATGTTACGCCGCTGACACGCAGTCGCTCGACCCGCAGTTCCAACTCGCGTCGCCCGCGATCCAGTCGTCCGCACGATGCTGCACCCGCACCGGCACAGGCACGCCTCACCGCAATGCCGCAATGCCGCAATGCCGCAAACACGTTTCGTCCGCATGTCAAATAGACACGACAACGTCTCAATCCTTGACTTTGGCGTCCCCAGATCAAAGCCATCTGGCCCACGGCCAAGGGAACGCAGGTCATTCGAGTCCTGGCGGTCTTGAGCCGGTATCCGATGGTGATGTTCGGGCCTGCTAGAACGGACATGAATCCAAAGAGTCGATTGTGGTCCTCCCTCTCGCGGCGAGTCAAAATTGCGGAAAGGCCTGTGCCAACGACGGACGGGTCATGAGCGATGTTGTAGGCGATCTGAGCCTTCGGCTTGAGACAGAGGAAGCACCCAGGTCTTAGCAGGTCGAGATCGTAGCTTGTGTTGCTCTCCCTCGAATGCCCAGCAAAGGCCCGTGCAACAACGTTGACCAACGTGCGCACAGCGAGGAGGGCTACGAAGTTAGCGGGAGTAGCCGTGCTGCTCGACAGGCTCCAGAAAGGACGGTACCCCGTCGGTATCTAGACGTCAACGTCCAGCCCGTCTCTGAACTCTGCCTTGTAGTTACACAGCAGGCGAGAGATGCAACGCATGACATCGTCAGGGATTGGCCTCAAAAGGCGAGCGCTCTTCTTGACCGAGAGGTGTTCGTGCTGGACGTCTCGATACGTGTCATCGACGCTTTGTCTGCTTCCACCTGAAGGCAAGAGCCCTACGCCTTGCACAGCCTGTCCAAGCGCGCGACCTCGCGCTCCGGCTCCCTACTGGCTCCATAACCAAGACACGAACAACGAGGCGCTGCGGTATGAACCCTGCGCCGTTCCGCGCCTGAGAAGGCCGAGCAGGGGCCGACAGCCGTCCATGAAAGGCACTCAAGTGGGGTCCCGCTCACTTGCTTCTTCGCACCACCGCTCTGCCCTCCCTATAGGCTCTTTCGCCTCGCACACAAGGATGCGGAGTCGTAAAGGAGCCTGCGGTTGGCCATCAGCACCAACACCTGATCCAGCTCTCCGAGGTGGTAATGGCAACACTGGGAGGGGTCCGACTCGCTAAGCTGGACATAAAGCCAAGGACGTCGCTGAAGCGGACGAAGAGCTCGAAGCATGACGAAGTCACCAGCACTGTGCACGCTGGCCCTCATGTATCGTGACGCAGAAGCCGATCCTTGCCGCTTCTTTTCATCTCAGCCTGCTCAACACTTTCGACGAGCAAGGAGAAGGCCGTAATAGTCGATCCGATGGCGCCAGGCGAGAACAAAGGGCCCGGTTCTGGGCAGGTGCGCGCCTCAACATCGCTCGGCGGAGGCTGTCGAGCCACCAACGGCTGCGGCACCTTCTGCGGCCTCGATGTAGCTCATAGGGACAACGCCTTCCTGGCCGTGTCGACACGCGCCTCCCACACGCACCGTCCACAGGCAGAAAGCCAAAGCGGCAAAGAATCGAGACGCGAAATTGAGACACAAAATCAAACACAAATTTCGACCGAATCTAGAATCTTGAAAGATGGAACTTTAGACTTAGATCATTAGTCTGTTAGAGTATGCCTAGCCCTAGGGTTAGGGTTACAAGGTCAGGGTTAGGGTTAGGGTTAGGGTTAGGGTTAGGGTTAGGGTTAGGGTTAGGGTTAGGGTTAGGGTTAGGGTTAGGGTTAGGGTTAGGGTTA